CACAAGTGTGTTGAGTGCGATTTCCTTCTGTTTCCCGAGTAGCGGGTGGGATAGCAACAGAGGCCTGGGGGGGGGGGTGTGCATGATGAATTCATCCGGCCGGTGAATACTTAGCAGTGCAGGCATGTGATTACTTAGCCGTCAAGTATGCTCAGGCTAGAAAAGACTGAATGCTGAAATCTGAAATCAGAAGTTCAGAATCTAAAGAGAGCTGAATGCCGAAAACTGAAATCAGAAGTTCTGAATCTGAGGGATTTGTCAAAAACCGTTTTTTGGCCCGGCGGCCGGTATGGCAGTTGATTCAATGAGGGGGTCGGTGCCTTCCTGTGAAGTTCCAGTGATCGGTGGAGCGTTGGGGTGGTTGCTTTCCCATGCAAAAACAGCGCCCCTGTGAAGGGGATCACACTCAGCACCCGAGTGGGACGGCTGAGCAGGACACACTTCGAACTTGGATTTTCAGTTAATGCAAGTATCACGTTGGGAAGGAAGGCGAGGGAAACGTAAGGTGAAAGGTCAGCGCAACTGAAATGTTTAACAATCTGTTCACTCATCTGCAGAAGCGCGGCTGAACGTCGGCGGCTGAAGGCAGCGGTGGGAAAACCTGTTTGGGGGTGGTAGCATGAAGGACCATAAAAACAAAAAAGGAAGATTGGACAGCGTGAGCAACAGTTTCTGGCAGGTACACGGTCAGACGTCTCTGACCGCATCCCATGACATCACTAGCTTCGTTGGCCAGCGTCGTGATGTCATGCGCTGGCCCCCTGCTTGATGAAAAAGGTGGAAGGAGCCCTTTTTTTCCAGGGGTGGACACACACACACACACACGCACACCAGTAAATCATGACTGAGGAAAGAAAGGAGCTTTGTGAACTACATGAAAGCCGCTTGGCGCACGGGGCGCAATGCATGGAGTGTCTACACCTGCCAGAAATAAACCAGAAATAGATGCGCATTAGTAGTGAGCTAAAGAAGTCTTATGAACAGGACTGTTTAGTCTTTTTACCTTCTGGACGGACAGAGGCAGTGATTTCTGGCTGGCATGAAGCCTCAAGCGGCACCAGTCCAGGTCAATGGATGGGAAACATGTAGAATCAGGTCGAAAGGTTCAGGTGCAGAGGTGAACCTATGACCTATGCAAAACGGTGCTTCCTTGTATACACCCCTTTTCCATCCTTTCATTTCTATCAATCGGGTCCGTTCTTTGTTCTTGTTTTTGGCCATTTGGTGCCAGTTAAGGTCAGCTTTTGGGCCTTTGGCATTGCCACGCTGCTCTTTACAGCCTTTGGCCTCGCCGGTTTTGCACGCTTCGGTGATGAAGTGCCCTCGGCGGAAGGAACACCGTTTCCGGACCTCATACCGCGTCGTGCCATGTTGTGCCGCGTCGTGCCAATTTATCTTTTTCATATATATAATATATATTAACTTATAACTATTTTTAATGCAGACGTGCGGGAATTCAGGTGCTTGGCAACGTGCTGAAGAGCAGCTTGGTGGAGAGTACACATGAGCTTGTCACACCAAATGACGGGGCCTTTGCTCAGACTTACTATTGACAGCGATTTAGATCGATTTATAATCTATATAGTATTTCTTCAAGGCTACTTCTGAGAAGTCTGTGAGATGACTCAGAACTGTTGGGGATAGCCATAACCACTGTCAGTTGCTAGTCTATTGCGTGGGCTGGAGTCGAGGTTACAGCCCTGATGATCCCATGATTCAGCTCTCCTGGTTTTGTATGATGGTTGCTTGGGCATCGGTTTTTGAAGCTCCAACATTTGAGTCGGAGGAATTTTCCAGGAAGGCCAGAAGGCCTTTCTTGCCCAGGTGTCAACGGTTTTCAACTTTCCTCACGCCTTTCAGCTTGGATCTCAATCTATTCAGCTTGAACCCTGTTTGATGCTCCACACTTGAGTTTGAACACTTTTTCGGGCTGAACGTGCCCACCAGCAGCGGTTGTTGAGGCGAATGCGTTCATCCTTCAATGCCTTGCTCAACAAGGGCCCCGAAGAGAACTTCATGATGACAACAATCCTTCTGCTCTCCATCTCGGTGTACATGGGAGTCGCGTTTAAAGATATCGCGGTGATCAAGATGATCAAAGGCGCGCTTTTGGCCGTGTGGGTGCCACCATTTGGTGCGCTGTAGATTTAGATGAAAGATGAAGGGCCACGCCTGCGAAGGTGCCACGCTTGGTGTCTCTATCATGCCTCTTGGCTCAAGCAGCTCCCCAAATGCCAGCAGGTAACAGTATGCAAGTACTATCGGATATACAAGTTCAGGTTCATCTTCCCCGCGCTGTTCTTCATCCAGCTCAACGAGCCAATCCGCTTGAAGAGAAAATGCACCTCGGTTGCTGTCTCCAGGGGGACCTGGGGACCTCAGATGCAGAACCCGGTCGCACACTTTGTCATCAGTTGAGCCAGTTGAGCGACCCGTTGAACGACCCTTCGTGGCCTTCTCAGGCAGTGGTGACATCAATGACCCTATGAGTCAAGTTCGCAGAAGGCCGGCGGCCCCTCCGAAACACCTCCAAAAGCACCGGTCGAAACGACAACGACGCCGAAGCGCTGTCCGCCACTGAGGCGACGAGGCAATTGGCTCTCTGTGCTTTGTGCTCCTTGGACCCCCTTAGTGCAAGATAGTACAAGCGAATTATGGATTCCTGGATTCTGATGGATTTTGAAGGACTCATTGACTCATTGGACTCATTGAGCAACAGAGTGAGGTGATCATGATGATCACTGGTTTCGTCCAGGGTGCTCTCGCCTTGATGGTGCACTACAACATCATCTAATCTGAGTTCGTGATGATTTGACATTTTCTAGTCCCATCCTCTGATTTTGTGCTTCTAAGCCCCTAGCCAAGCAGTCTCCACATGCAATCAAACCATTTCAACATGTTCTTGCATATTCGTGCTGTTCCCTTCAAGAATTTTCTCAAGCTGGATCGCGTCCATGTTGAGCAGCTGGCCCGGTGACAATTCACGAGGATTGCCATGCTGTGAAACAGGTTAATCTCAGAAGACCCCAGCGACCGACTGACATGAATATAGTTAATATACCTCACATTTCGTTTCAGACAGGACACCCTGACTTGAGGGAAGATCTGTAGTTGCTGGAGTCTGTGTTTCTTGGACTCTTGGTGTCTCCACCATTTTGAGCTGCTGGATGTCTCCAAGATGGGTTTGGCCTTGCTGCATGTTGGCAACAATCCGAAAAACACTCGCCGTGGCCAAACGGCTGCTATGGCAATGGTGGGCAAGCTTGTTTCAGACCCACCGCATGTCAACATGCAGCTGAATGCCAACCACCAAAGAAAAGGGATGTCGCTCCAACATAATAGCGAACTGATATTCCCAACTTCGTTTGTCCTGCATTTTAAAGGCTCCCCAGCTACGTAAGTTTTGACAGGTGTTCTTTGGCATGGAGCAGCAGCCCTTTTCATGGGTGGAATGGATTGAAAAGTGGGAAGTGGTCCCGCCAGCAAGCATCAGAAAAGTTGCGCAAGCCAAACCGCTTGGTATTTTCAAAAGGCTTTCAGAATGCAGAGAGCGGACTAGGAAGCGTTACTGGTAGGACGCTCAGATCCGACGGTGCGTTGCTCTGAGGCTTGCCCGATGGATGAAATCAGTACAAGGGAAGGAGGCCAGGCCAGGCTACAGTAGATTTAGCATATGTTACTAGTAAGGATGCTCCTAGTAGTACGGCCGGGGCTCCTAGTAGCGTCCTTGCTCCTAGTAGCGATGCCCTTTGTTACTAGTAGCGTCCTTGTTATTGACAGATCAAAAGTGCTCAGATGTTGAGGTCCGAAATCTTCAGAGTTGCTTTTCCACGCTTTCCCATCGCCTGCTTTTGCAGCTGCAGTGATCTTAATTCTCACGTAAGCAGAGTAGGCCATGATGATATGATTGAATTGATCCCCCGTTTAGTTTTGCTCTTCAGCCATGCCTCTTGGAAGTTTATGGAAAGATAATAACCTTTTTGGCTCCTCACTTGCACTTTGTAGTGCCAGTCTCCCACTTGACTGCTCCTGCGTTCTTCTACCAGTGCAGCCTTGGCGTCTTCGTGCTTGTATTTCGTCTGGCTCCGCCAGATACAGTCCAGTGCATGCAACGCAATTCTGCTTGTTCTTCTTTGTTTTGAAGTCTTACCTGCCCCATTGCCTTCTTGCATTTGTCGTTGATGCAGGCACCAGGTGTTCTGACCAATATTATGAACGGCCTTTCTTCTTGATTCTACAGGACTTGGACCTCAACAAGTTCCACAGCTTCGCCAAGGGCCACTTCGGCGACGTGGCTCAATCGTGTGCACACCAAAGCCGTGGAACCCACCGGATTCAGGAAAGCTGAGCGCTCGGCGAAAGTCCAACATCACACCAAGGAGAAGCTGGGATTTGGGTGGCTTGGTGGAATCTCTTTGGTTAATATTTGCGGTCCGATGCCTCTGGTTGATCTGCCTTCCAATCTCTGATGTCATGAGGTTTCCAATGGTTTCGAAGTGAATTTGTGGTGACAAAAGGGTCACTCTACACTGCAACGCCCTACTGTCTGCGCCAGGAGGGCAGACCGACATGTGCGTGAGAATGCGGCCCTCGTGCTGGAAGCCCAAAAAGTTCAAGGTTTATGCCACGCTCCTCCGAGGGGCTCAGAGGAATCAGTCGAATCAGATGCTACTAGTAGCTAGAAGCTACTCGGTGGAGGCCATCGCAAGTAGGTTGAAGGCCATCGCTGCTACTAACAATTGACCCTTCTGCACCGGTGAATTTTCAGGCTAAAGACCAGGCTGCGAGACCTTTTCCTCCGACGCTTGTCCAGTGGTGCCCTGACTGCAAGAAGGAGTGGCTGAGTTGCTGGACGCACCGCTGGTGAAGTTTGGAGGCTTTGGCATGATGCGCAGATTTGCATTCCAAGAGGCCTGAGGAAAGTCATTTTGTCAAGTACTTCGCAAATCCCAGTAGATTGGAGGCCATCGCTAGTAGGTTGGAGAGACGTGTTCCTGTGAGCTTTATTCACCGCTTGAACCAGGCTCAGAGCGATGCCGGAGCAACATCACCCGATGAGCAGCGGATCCCAGTCGCCCTAACCGAACCTTTTCTTTGTTGAGAGGAAGAGAACCAATTGATTCCATGGAACAAGTTCTGCTAGAAATCTTTGGTCACATGCATTGGTTTAGCAGTCCCGCAAAAGATTCCGGACGAACAAATTCTACCATCACGCACTTTGCATTGGGTGACAGCGTCGTCACGGAGGGGTGGGACCAAGAAGAGGGTCTCATGCAGCCGCCCCGCAGTTCTGCATTTTGGCTGCATCAGAAGGTTTTCCTAGAAACTCTACACTAACATGTCGGCCATTGCGGAGGTTGGGGAATGAACATCGAGCTGCTGTCTTCTAGCTGATTCTAGTTGCCTTTCAATTCACCGCCGGCTTTTAAGCCAGTATTGCGACAAGCTTCTCACACGTGGCCAGACACCTGAAAATCATCGCGCACCTGTGCCGAATGATGAGAGTGTCCTTGCTGCAAGGGTGACGTTCCAAACGGTGCCCTGTGTTCTCTGTGGTTCTCATTTCAACCCAAACGGTGCCCCCGTCCGAGCGGTTTTCAGGTGGCATGGCTCTGACCAAGTCTTTGGAGAATTTGTCGCTTGGCGGAGTGGCGGCCGTGTACCCTCAGGTGCAACGACCAAAGCACTTACGACCAGAGCAACGACCCGGCGTGATGCACGTCGCGATGGCAGGCAAAGATGCCCAAGAAGTATCGTATTCCACAGAAAGGCGAAGTGAGCACCTACCAAGGACACTTCAAGTTTGTTGAGCCTCAAGTAGGTAGCATCAAGTAGCTGGAGCACACTGGGTAGAAGATTGGAGAAGATGGTAGAAGATTAGGAGTCGGAGTGTTTGGAATTCGTCAGGAGCAGGAGTCATCCCAGTAACAAGGCTGCCGGATGGTCTGGAGCTCAAGGGGAACTTCGGCAGTCACCCACGATCAATATGTTTGGTCACTGTTAGAGGCAAGGCTCGGGTGCTTCTTTGGCAGCCGCAGAAGGGCAAGAAGCAGGGCGTGCGCTGGTATGACTTCGGGGGCAGCAAGAAGCCGACCGAGGCAGCTGTCGGAGGGCCTCTCACTTTTGATACCCCAACCCCCAGCCCCAAAGAATCCCAAAGCGACAATGCTACACTGCTACAAAGTCATTTCTCCCCAAATGTTCCAACTGCTTCCAAAGCACAGAAGAATCTGCGAGGACCTGGATGTTTATATATATATATATCTAAATACTCTTAGTCTGTGAGACCCGAAGTCCGCGAATTGGTAGATGTTGGGAGACTTGCAAACGGCTCCAGGAGTTTGCGAGCAGCTGTGCCTGCCGGAAGTTTGCCAAGGAGACATATGGCCTCTTCGGTTGTGCCACTTGGTGAAACGGACTGTCACACAATAAGGGCACCTAAAGGAACAGAAATCATAGAACCGGATCAATCAACCCTGTAGTGCTCTAACACCAGACTAACCGAGCAAAAGTTCCATGGAAAGAATCACTTGAATCACTTGGGGTTTTGGGGTGTCATTTGGTGGCTTGGAGCTGATTGGGAGCAAAAGCTGTTGTGATCGCCTCACATCGAACCGCGCGAATCGCCTTCCAGTGGTTCCAATCTGAGGCTTTGGACTTGAAAGGTGACCAGATGGCAATGCAACTCAGGGAGCTCTACCAGGTGCGATGTTTCTGCGAACATGAATTTCGATATGTTTCGAAGCCGAAACGGGTCGAAATGATAGCAGGATAGCAGCTGCTTTCCGAACTTACTAACATGGAAGCGGAACATCCACTTGATGCCACTTGCTGACTTACTTCCATGGCATGTTCACCTGTTCGTCGGAGTGAGAAGTGCTCCCCCTGGCACCTGCTTCCGCACCCAGCGCACGGCTTGAGGGCCTCGCCAACTTGCCCCTCATGCTCAAGGCAAGTGAGGACTTCACGCCAGTTTCACCCGCTCTGGGAGCTTTGCAAGTCCATTTCAAACTCTGGTGGAACTAGATTGGACCAATGGGTTGGACGAGTGGCTTGGTGCTTTGTCAAAAGTCTAAAGACTCTTTATGCTTTTATTCTATTGTAAGATATTGTAAGATGATTTTGACTCGTGACTGCTTGTTGGAGGAGTGGGCACATTTGCAACTTCTGGATGATGGCCCTCGGATTTTCTTCAATGACACCCACGAGTACTTCTTGTACATGTTGTGCGTGCCATACGTGCCAGAGGACACCAGCTGACTGACATCGATTCGTTTTGTTTGGCAATGATAGCACCATGCTTATGGTAGCGCTTATGGTTCGTATTGTCAAATCCAAGCTGCTGCATCTATGACCATCTTTGCACGGGATCGCACGCTGCCCCCGCTTGCAAAGGAAGTTCTGAACGAGGCCTCGACCATTGTTGATGGCCGCAAGCGTGTTTTCAGGCTGGGAACGTCCCTCTCGTGCCTGTCGAGCCTTGCCTCGCCCCAGAGTTGCTCCGTTTCTTCCGTTTTCCCAGGTGGATGACAGTGGAAGAGTTGGCTGAGGAGGTCATGGCACCGAGGCTCCACATGGCAAGCTTCGCGCTGCAGCTGGAGAACCTTCAGGAGGATCCTTTTGTTTCTTGGCAGGTGTGGGAGACGAGATAGGCTTCGATCAGGTGACTTGTTTTGTGGGTGAGATGGTTTGAGAACTTGGTAGGCGGATAGGCAAGGACTGAAAAAGGGCCACACCACTTAAGTCCAGTGTTATTTCATGTTTCAATGTGCCATGCTGTGCCATACCTTTTGCATCCTTTGGGCTGATGATGATGATGTTGCCTCCCTCTGAGGTGCTCATGGGCAGAACATATGGCAATGTAGCGAGTAATATTCCAACAGGAACTTTTTCTGCCGCTGCATTGTGAGCCTGAAAATCAGCATACCTCACAAGTTTATGCGGCAACGTTCAGACATCCTCCGCTGCTAAAAGCAGCTGTAAAGTAAACATCATGCCACTTTGGTGAAGGCTGTAGAGCGTGGATGTTTGGACATTTTGAATGGCGACTGTTGTGGCTGATGTGTTTTGTATTGCCCAGTTGGCCAGTTGAAGATCAGGTACAACATCACACTACTTGGGGACCTTGTTTTGCACCTTTCGACGCTTGTTCCACATCTACATATTTTCAAAAAAGACTATTGTTATATTATATACTAACTATTTTGTAATATTCAAAACCATTCGATCTTCTTCTGCGACTTAGTGGGCGAGTCTTACATCTGGCAGCAGAAGCTTTTTCCCCGCCATCCTTCATAGAAGGGTGGTGTTCCGACCTGCGAAGCAGGGACCACAAGAGTGCCGGAACCCTCATGAGCCACGGGATCCAAGCGAATGCATTGGAAATAGCAGTGCGGTTGGAACATGGAACAACAGTCAGAGGTCAAAGCATGGACGATGGATTATGATGGAAGGTGTAAAAGTCTAAAGGTTCCATGATGTTCAATTCTGTTGGTTTCTTTGTGTTTTTGGTGGGAATCTTGAGGTAGCAAGGGCAGCTCTTTCTTGTACGCAGACGCTGCCCCCATGGTACTCCCATGGTAGAATGTTTCTTTTTGAGGCCGAGCATCTTCAAAGAGCTACTGAAATCTCAGTGCCAGTGTGCCGTGACAGCCTCAGCATGTGCTGAGAAAAGCAACTGACATTTGAATGACCATGTAGTATATAATGAGAACGCTTGGCAGCTTGAGTTCAGGAAAGCGGTATGTCTTCAAAGACTTTGAATGATGAAACAAAGACCCTGACCTCACATGTTCGGCTTTGCATGGCTTTGCATGGCTTGGAGACTCACTCAAATCGGACTTTGTTTCATGGTTGTGCCCTCGCAGCTCTTTGGGGTTCACAGGGTTGCACTGCTGGGGTGACACGCAGTGCCTGGCAGTTCTCCATGGACTAGCCGCGATGGCCGAGATACAAGAAATTCAGAGCGAAGGCTTTGACCTGCCGGCGCGGGAGGCGACGCCCGGCTGCCGGGTGATACTGATATGGCAGCTGAACCTGTCAAGTACAACATGGATTGTCGAAGGATATTTGCATTGGGATCGGCATGAGGGTGAGAAGCCGCTTGGTTTCCGTTGACTTGGATCTTCTCATTCTTCTTGCTTTTTTCTTCTTTTTTCTGTCAGGGATCCCACCATGTGAGGCTGGCTCACAAGGTTTTGATAGAAATCACTCAGACTAAGGACCAGCCGAGCCCCACGATGGCGGTACACGCGCGAAGAAAAAGGGAGGAAAGAAGAGAGCCGTTGCTGGAGCTCTTTTACGGGCCGTGACTCTGTGAGCAGCCAGGGCGGCCTATCCAAAGAAGAGTTAGACGCACTCACATCGATGAAGGAGGAGATGAGGAAAAAGCTGTCGGAGCGCAAAAAGGCACTTGATAGTGCCGGAAACTTGATCGATCAAGATGCAGAAGAACGATGGCAGCTCCTGAGGGTTCTAGGCAAGAAATGCCGAAACAGCCACTGAGTCAGCAAGTTGAACTCATGAAAGTCCTTCCTAGTTGGGCATGCTTGGCAATTTTTTGGTTTAAAGTCTTGGTAGCATGACTATTAAGTGGTTCTAAATCTGTTGGTTGAATCCTTCGGTTGCTTCCCAAGGTAAGGAGCTCTTTGCCCTCCGGGAGCAAATCGAACAGGATCGCCGCGCCGCAGGGCCGGAGGCTGCGCCAGAGTGGCGCCCGCCACGGATCTCCGGCGCCGTCGGGGGACCCCCGCGGGGCGCGAAGAAGCGGGGCTGCGACGCCATCGAGTGGTTTCTCATTCATCGCACGCGGGAATCGCCAAGACAGAGTCAGAAAGGCACAAAGAGACGGAGGACAGACACAGGGGCAGAAGTGGACTCTTCGTCGGAAGAGGAAGTGATAGAGAAAGGTCCAAGAAGGCCTCCAATTTCTGCCTTTAAGGGAGGAGATGCTGCGAGAAATGAGCTCGAGCCCGAGGAAGCGAGGCAACTTTGGAAACGCTTGGAGAACGACGAGGTCTTCACATCCGAAGACGATTTACTCCGCCTTTGGCGCCTTGCTTTGGCCAAGACGGCCGTGGAGGAAGATGGGCAACTCCCATTTACCGTCATGGATTTGGCAAAGCATCCAGGAGTTGCTTGAGCATTCTTTGTCTTTTCCATGCTAATTTAGCGGTGTGCCGTTAAAAAATGTTAAAGTAATTTCTTCGCAGCTCCAAGTGAGAATCTTGATGCCTGATGCAAAATTGAAGGCAGCAGGTGGAACACAGAGCCCACCTGGCTTTCACGGGCCTAGCGGCAGTGGTCGAGATGGCTTCGGACGCCCTTTCGAAGAAGGACTTGGTCACAACGTTCTTGAAAGTTGTGCTTCGGGAGCTGTTGAACCGCGTGTTCAACGATGACCACCAGGCCCAACTCTTCCCAAGCACAGGTGTTTGTTTGATGGTGGTAAGTTAGTTGTTGTTGTAACGTGTTGTCACGGTAGATTTGGCAAATGGTTGGCTCCATGCCATGCAGATCTGTTAGGCTCCGCTAGGCTCCCTGTTTGTGATGTTCGAGCCACTCGAACCGGTGCAGGGCCACTTCCTGCCGCTGAGCCGCTTCAAAGGCCATGCCAAAGGAGTTCGTGGCTGTGCAAGGCAGGCACTTCGAGGCAAGGTTGCTGGGTGGATGGCTCGCACAAAAGAGTGTTCTCTGGAGTGTGCCATCAGTATGCCAATTGCAGAAAGGGGTTGGGTGTCGGGGCCAAGCAAAGCCACTGTACTACTGTATCGTCCTTTTCTGTATTCTTTTTGCATTCTTGTAAGTAGTGATTCTGTGTGAGCTTTTGTGGAGTCTAGCGGCCTGGTTTCCTGCGGTTAGCTCATTATGAATTCAAGTCTCGGCCACTACTGACTAGTGCTTCGCCACCATTTTGGCCCAAGACTTGCATCCTCTCTGCCAAACCCTGTCGGTTGCATGATCGCCAGCCGACCTTTGTTGATCCTTTGTGCGTCCGCGAGGACGGCGACGCCACACTTGAGGCCTATGGGTACTGCTATGAGTGCCTTGAGCCATGTGGCCCTGGCAGATGTCGCCATCCAATTTGCTTGTTTCAGTGTCGCAGCTGCACTGCAAACTGAGAAGTTCTATGACATCTCAGCGAGTTTGACCTACATCTTGTGTGTCCTGATTTCCCGGCGGCAGGGCGTCCGAAACACAAGGAGTGCTGTGAACTCAGGCCTGGTGACACTATGGGCGTTGAGGCTTGGGAGCTTTTTACTATGGCGTGTGTTGCAGGATGGAGGTGATTCTCGTTTTGCCAAGGCCAAGACACGTCCCATGGTCTTCTTAGTCTTTTGGGCCATTCAGGCCCTCTGGATTTTCATCACAGCTTTGCCGGTGTACCTCTCGAACACCAAGAGGACAGTGTCGTCCACCGAGGAGCGTTTGGAAGAGGGCACTGCGAGCGAGGCAAGCGAGGGTTCCAAAATGGCGAAATGGCTTGCCTCCATAGCTGACCATGCTGACACTGTAAAGATGGAACATGAAACATGCTCACGTTTCACGGCCTGTTGTTAAGGAACTAGGCCAGATGCCGGTTTTCCATCCCTCGGTTTCAAGATTTGAGTTCACTAACATGTCGCATAGGCATCCATAGGCTGTGTTCAACTGTAGGGTTTGCACTTCTGACAGGTTCGGAACACTCCCATTGGCTGGCGTGACATGGTTGGCTGGTCGCTTTGGTCTTTGGGCTTTGTGGTGCAGGCCACTGCAGACCTTCAAAAGCGACTCTTCCAAGCAGATCCCCGGAACCAGGGCCATTGGATCAATGTCGGCTTGTGGCGCCTGGCACAGCATCCCAACTACTTTGGGGAGATTTGTGACCTTGCCTATCATTTATTCTGTTTATCCTTCGTGACAGTTTGTATAGCCGCTAGCCATCGAAACTGTAAACAAACAGCTTGTCTTCTCTGGGTTCTGTTAACTGTGAACAGTGTATTTTTGTGTTGCTCAGGCATGTGGTGGGGTATTTTCTTGAGTTGCTCAGCCTCTCTCCGCGGCTGGGAGCTTCTTTGCGTGTTCTCGCCCTGCTTTGTGACCTTTCTGTTGCTTCGTGTGAGTGGTGTTCCAATCCTCCGGAAGACTGGTTTGAAACGCTGGGGGCACTTGCGCGAGTACCAGGAATACATCAAGAAGACACCCCTGCTGGTGCCGTTGCCTCGCCCGGAGGGCCATTTTCTGGGAAGGACCTAGTTAGCTTCTTTGCTCCTAGTAGCGTCCTTGGTCCTAGTAGCGATGCCAGGAGCTCCTAGTAGCGTCCTTGTATATAGTCATAAAATCGTGCCGACAAAGCAAGGCACTTGACAGAATGCGCAGATCCAATCGTTCCCGTGCACTGCACCAGAAGGACAAAAAGAGGCATCAGTTGTTTTCAGGCTCAGTAAACTCTGAATACGCTGGCTTCGAGGTCTGATGATAGGAAAACAATGGAAGCTTTTGACTCACGAGCAGGAGAGCAAACCTGCTTGACTTGGGATACCGTCAAGATTGATTTGTATTGTATATCTATAGGGAGATTCCGTGTTCTGGAATCTGGAAGAGTGTTTTTTTCCCGTGGTCCCCATATGGCCACGTCTTGAAATCGGCAAGGCCCCTAGATGTGCCGGTCCCTTCTGCAGGCTCCACATCCACGGAAGTGGCTGCGGGCTTTGGCGTGCTCGTGTGCAGTCATGGGATGTCGCAGATCGTCCCGGAGATCTTCCAGGCCACCGAGCCCAATCGCCATGGGCTGGCGGCACTCGCCTTTGGCGCCCTCCTCGTGGCGGAGCCGACAGCCAAGACAAAGGCGAGATGAACTTTATTCCGGTAGCCACTGAGTGTCTCTAAAAGACATGTGGATGCTTCAGAAGAAAGTTGCTTTTTGATACGGGGATCTCATATTACAATTCTGAGAAAAATTAGGAAGTGACAGCACAAGGCAGCTCGTGAACCGTATGCTTGCTTCTCTTGATGAGTTTGGGGGCGTCCGGCAACCTTTGGCTGTTCACTATGTGACTTGTTGAGGTCTTGCAGCTGCTGCTGGAGATGCTCAGTGCTGACTGTTTCGACCTGCTCACACGTTTCGACCTTTGGGCGCTGCTGAAGTCGCTACAAGATGAAGAAGTGGACATGGCATTGACCAAGATCCAGGCTAGGTTGGAACATGTTGGAACATTCCTTGCATGACTGAGAGTCTGAAAGTGAAAGAGTGTGCCATAGAAAGGTTGGACAGAGCAACATGCTGCGCGTGTGTTGGAATCATCCGTGGGTCGCATAATAAGGGGTACACACTTTGTGTTATATTGTTTCCTCAGCTTCTCGGCCACAGCGACCACTCACAAGGTGCCTCGTTTGCCAAGTGCCACAGACGATCTTCGGGCCTTGCCGGGCCTGCCGCAGCTGCTTCTGGCTTGGCAGCCGATCCCTGGAACTGGGCAGCTTGGCAAATGCTGCGACGCTTCGAACGTCTATCTTTTGGGGGTGGGCGTTTGAGTGCAACCGTTTGGATCGGGTGATTCTCTAGCTGAGGCCCATCATAGCAGCTGACCAGCTGCTGAAGGACTTGCGCGAGAAATCACAGGACCCAAGGGTGAGCCAGGGTCAAGCAGCTTATTGGCCGACTGGG